AAAAAAAAAAAAAAAAAAAAAAAAAAAAAAAAAAACACGAAAATCCGCTGAAAAATCGAAATTCTCATTGGACGATCCGTCTGGGTATTAGGTCGTGTCTTGGGCAGTTAACGTCCGAGAATTCTCCGTGAAAGTAGATAATGGTTCCTCCGGACAGACTGACGCACAACATAGCGAGGAAAACGCGTATTTCGGTACTGAAAATTCTTAAGCTTTATCATACGTCACATACATCGTAGGATGTCACCTAAAATGACAAGATTATGTAGACGATCCACTTCCGCCAAGGCGGAAGGGAATACGGTCGTCCTTCTTTGGCTTGGAGGTAGCATTAGCGCGCGATGTATTCTTCTTCTAGAAGTCATGAGGTATGCTGCAAACAGGCAAAAAAGAAACCCACACGATTAGTATCACACTTTCAAAGTGAGATTATTGTCTGAAAATTTCACTCAAATTTCACTTAGTCGCACTCGCGCACCGTAACGGCGACTGCGCCTTCGTTTCATCCTGTTCCATATTGCGTGCTATCGACTAAACCGAAGGTATAAAGACAAAGTACGTGAAAACATCTAGCCACATTTTATCGACTTCTTTATAAAAGATTTTTCACTATTGTATCACCGTTCAATTTAAGAAAGAATCCTTCAGCGTCCAAATCATAAGGAAAAGGACGAAACGCATGGCGCCGCTCATTCACCCGAAAAAGAAGATGCTAAAAATTGAAGTCGGTAAACCGTAACGAGGAAGCCATATTGACAAGATCCAATCCAAGCCAAGCCACCTGCGTCCTATAACACCTATTACCAAGGAAACGTTATTTCCTGAAAAGAAAAACGAAAAGGGACGAGACAATCCCTCGTTTCTCTGATGACTTACTGATCGAGTGTGATGACGTCCTTGTTAGCTGTATGTGCCTGAGCCAGACGTAAGGCCAGGTCGTTTGCTTCGCTTCCGGAATTAACCAGGAAACACACTGACAGAGGTTCCGGCAGGAGCGAAGCAAGCCGACGTGCACAGACTACTAAATTGTCATGCAGAAAACGATTGTTCGTACAGAGCAAAGCCATTTGTTGTTGTCCAGCTCGAACAACATCCGGATGACAATGACCGACTGGAAATAAAATATTGTCGAATTTAACGAAGCTGAGAGATTTTTAGATAACGCGATGTGCCAATATGCTGATGGATCGCGTACAATGTGACATATTTTTTTAAATTGTTTCAAACTATAATTGAAATTAAATTAAACTTTTTGTTTCATATTAAAGATCGTTAAACCATTTCTGGTCATTGGCAATTCGTATAACGAACTCGGTACAGCTCGTGGATTATTGACACAGTGTAGCTGCATGTACCCTCAGTGGAGATACAATACGTATTATGCTCAATGGGGTCAAAAAAGTACAGACGCAGTTTGATAACCCATAGGTCGTTAGTTGGAAAATGCGTAAGAATTCACGGAATAATCGCAGATACAAAAACAATAAGGTATATCGCGTTATTGATATAAGTGCTCCACTTAAATAACTAATTACCGTGAGCCACGTTGTTTATGCAATCCAGATAGCGCTCGCTCCTTTCGTCGTACATGTACTGTCCTTCTGCCCTGACAATCTTCAAAGGGCTCGACTTGTAGAATAATTTGCATGATTGCCTGAAAACGGGAGTTTTTGAAATTGCAATTTGAATAGACACGTAAATTAATTTACAATCGCATATATACCTAAACACCTACGATATACCTAAATGGAGCGGCATTTTGGATATTTTGGAAAAATGCACACGCGTGCTCGAAAAATAATTTTTGTCCGTTGAAAATAAAAAAAAATTGTATAAATAAAATCGTACGCCAATATTCCGTTTTCCATTCGCTCTTTCATATCTGTATATTACTATATACGTTAGGTGCAACAATTGACAATGATTTATTACTCGTCCGTGTCGTTTATCGGCTACGCGACACAACGTTATCCTACGTGGTAATATGGTAATGCGCACGTAGGTTAGTTTAGGTACGTTCCCACGTTATCAGATGATTCAAGTGACAGCTGATAACCAGCCGTTTAACATGATAATGAGCTATCGTACGCGTGCTATCGTATTAAACGTGCATTATACCAGGTAAATTTGACTTGCCCAGCCATCTGTAATTTACACGTCTCCCACTGACCATTAGAGGAGAAATTTCAAGTGGCTCGTGAATATACGTGGGTAATATTCCAGGAGCAGTGCTAATTAGCATAGTAACGTTACCCGCGTACCTATTCCGTCCACCCAACCACCTATCCACCTGCAATCCTGCATGCCAACGAAAAGGAATGAAAACCGAGAATGGAGGGTTGTTCGCATGACCATTGCTGGACGCTGGACGCTGCGGTGAAATTGAAGGACTTAACCTGATCATTTTCCTACAGGGAAATTGCATGGTACACTATACATGGCTATTTGGCAATGTACAGATAACATAGGTGCACTTGATAAATCGCGATAGGCAAAAAATCAAATTGATATGGAAATTCCATAATTATTTACGTATATTGAAAAAAGTATCTGATTATTTCAGGTATCGATATACCTATATGTAGGTCCTATACGATATTCTATCAATCACGATTAAAGAATATAATAATGAAGAGTATATTTCCTCAATCTCATTCATAAATTATTGACATCCTACTTACCCAATGTGACGTTCGCGAAGTTTAATTGTATCGTTCTTTGGCATTTGCTCCAACGAGTCCATCATCTTGGAGATTCTTTTTTTCTCGAGTGGGATCTGTGAAATGGTATCAATACAGATTCGCAACGGTTCTCGTGTATCGCCTTTACGTCATTTCAGATGCATACAGTGACAATCGTGTAATGGACGCAATATGAACTCGTTGTTTTCTTTCGACATATACATATACGTGTATAACGTCTCGACCTTAAGATCTATAAACGTCTGTACATAGAGTTGCATAACGATAAATAAATGTGTTAAGGTGCAATCGGAGGTTAGAATTATTAAAGGGTACTATAATTATTAATATAAAGCCTAAATATTCCCTTTAGTTGCGACTGGGCTTGTGTAATAAATTTGTATGGGTACTTTTTTCAAAGATTTTTCGAGTGGCTCGTATCTCGCGCGTCTCTCGCGCATAATTAAATAGGCTGGTACCGCTAATAATTATAACACTCATTCTATAGATTGTCACGCAGCTGATACGATAATCCTCATTAAAATGTGGATATACGCATTTATGTGGACTGTTTAATATGCGATTCTAACTAGGTTATAATTATTCCCTCGAAATTCGCATGCGCGTCATCAATTTAAATGCACGTAACGAGGGAGATTTAATCAAAGAGAAGTGCACGCGGGTCGCTTTGATTTGACGTGAGCATAAATTTGCTCGTTATTAAAACAAACTTCGAGATTAATTAGTGACGACAAAATTGTAACGATACGGGTGTATAACTAGCGCACGAAAGGTGAATAAGAATGAAAAACCCGACAAACAAAAACGCGAGGTGAAGATAAAGATAAAATGAATGTAAATTTTATAATAAAATTCTGCCGTAAGCGTATATCAACGTAGTACGAATCGTACCTGATGTTGAAACGGGAAGTCGCGGTTCCTCGACTTCTGAATGCAGCTGTCAGCTGAGTGTCGCGACCTACTCTGGTGACGTCATATATAGCATCCGTAAGTTGGTGGGAAAAAGCGGGGAGTTGCGCGCGCACTTCTTTCTTTATACTCCCCTCCTGCTCTAAACTCATCTCCACGCAATCTCAGCCTGGTTACTCTGCATCCTCGTTATTCTTACTACATAGCCTAAAACTTGGACCAATCTTAATTCTTCGTTATCTCTTTTCCTTATCCTTCCCACTCTTTCATTATCATTTAATATTACGTTAGAGCCTCTTTTTCCTATAATCACTGCTGACGTTATTCGAATGTGTCCGGAAATAAAAATTTAGCAAAAACACGGTTCACTCATTTCATTAACGATTTATCCAATATCAAATTCTCATATTCTTTCGTGCTACAGTAAAGAACAGTGATACACCGAGTGAAATCGGTCTAGTCCAATGGAAATTGATATTGAAAATTGGCCCATACAAGAACCATTTGAACTTGAAGGTATACGTGTGATCTCTACGTGACAAAATTACTTTGCTCGTATTACTACGACAGAAATTAATTTTCTCGGCAAGCTTGATGGAACATCGGTATATCCTATATCGCCTAGAGTAAGATTCTGTATGCCGATGCCTTACGTATTCTCTCTATTGATTCTCCGTACTCAAGAATGTCGAGACTGTACTCCTCCAGAGATGGAAAAAAAAAAAGAAAAAGATAGTAGAAGCAAGGTTCGAGTGGCTATAATATCGTAGAAAAAGGACAATGTGCGTCTTTCGATAATATTGATCATCACGTGAAGGAGGCTCGCACCACATGTGATCAGCCGACGTCTCATCAGTTGCGCTGTGTAGTTGTTTTATCGTGCGGGTAAGTAGATAGCGAATTGGTCGCAATGTGTACATATGCTCGATGCTTGGTATGTACACAGATAATGGTATACCTATTGAGATGATGTTATATAGCTGCGAGGTCGATAACAATGACAATGTATGACCTTTTGCCATGTGTGCATTAATAAGCTGCCCTATGGTTCCTCTATAATGCATATTTCTGCACTGTTTGCTGCACTCTGAACAATGCTCCGAGTTTTGATAGAAGGTCAATGCGCGCGGCATTCAGGCCATGTGTGTTACGCGTATGGTCTTATCGTCTATAGTATTTCATTTAGACGGAAATCATTTGTTCCCGTTTTAGATGTCAAAGTGCAGACTGCTATTGTTATGCGAATTTAGTGACAGAAATTGGGTCGATATTATTGGCTGAATGGATGATGAAATGGATGACAATCGGAGTGATACATACGGTACACGTTGGAGGACTAATGTTGAGGTTGATTATGGGAGACCAATTATGAGACTGGAGGTTGACAATAAAAAATGTAAATTTTGAATATGATTAATTTAATTTATAAGAGCGTACCTAATGATCCGTGGTAAAAGTTACTACAATAATAATTACTGCAAACTGCAATAATAATTTGCTACTCCTAACTCGATGCCCATTAAACTCGACGACCAGTTCACATGCATGATATTCCAAGTAGTAACTATACCAAAGTACTTATGTAAATATGCACTAGTTTAATTTGGCGCATAGTGAAAGTTCATTACACACTTGAAATCTCATTCGAGTGATTGATGATTAAATTAATCAAGTGTCTCGGGTACTGATATTAATATAGAATTGGGATATGATGTCAAAATTATTATTTTCATAAAAAATATGATTGATCACTCGTCCGTCGAGTTACAGATATTTTCTTTTTTTAAACATACGTAAATGTCAAGCAATGTTGTAAGCATGATAGATCACGTATTTCACCACTGCTTTCGTTTTGGTAGAATAACATTGTGAAATGTACATTTCCGTCAAACTGTTCAGATAAAATCAAACAGAACAGATAAAGAATGCTAAATATTATTTTGATACACGTTACTGATGGTTCATTGCTAAATATTTGTGTCCCGATATATACATCAGCATACTGGGAAATTGCATATTTAACAAAATTTTTGTTTCCATTCATATACCTTGTACACGTGTGATATACAAATTTATGCTACTTTATTGTTCATTGTAGAACGTGCAGGAATTACCTTGGAAAACGACACTGAGTAGCTAATTAGTTGCAGGTGCATGAAGTTTGCATAAATAATATTGCATTAAAGCTTCATTTCCATGCATCACTGTCTGGATGCGATATCTGATAAATTTTGAATTCCTCCCAAGTTCCTATAAAAAGTGCATCAAGATTCGCAAGGATGACAAAGAGGAAAATAAATTTATATTCAATAGATTCGCATAAGACGAACTTTTTTTTAAACGCGTTTCACGTCTATTGTAATGGCCTTGATTGCGTCTTTCTAATGAGGTGTAACAACGTGACACACATGCGACTCTCGCATGATAGAAATAAACACGTGATTATCCAACTATATTATACCCAGCGGATAGGGAGTGCTTTATGATATTAGATACTATCATTGTCTGAAGTTGGCCCGTCCATTTGATTTCTATTGTAGAACCATGTTCAGATGGTGCGTTTCTACTGGATAACTCTATATACATTAACTGTGCATAAACAGCTTTGTCCAAATTGCACGTATTTATTAGCAAATCATTGTACATTATAATCAATTAGCTCGTATACTAATGGACAGCTAATTAATATCACTTTAGTACTGAATTGGATAATGAAGTTAGTATTACGTTAACAATGGAAAATATTATTATCATTAATTTTTTATTATTCAAGATTTATCATTTGTCTTTCAAGAATTACAACCGACTTGTCCACGATGGCAGTACGTATCAGCAAGTAAATTTGTTCTTTCTTTTTATTATGCTGGCAATTTTTAAATGAAAGGTAGATCATGTAATAAAGATCCTAACAATAAATATCCACTATTTGACTAAGAGGCTCGCTATACTCTGGATCATACGATGAATAATAAGAGATAACAGAGCTACTCATATATCAACAGCATTAAGCACGCGGACAGTGCATGAATCCACGTGGATTAGTGCGTGATGTAATCAGAAGCGTTTGAATAGAGATAGAATAGAGAATTTTCTTTCTTTTTCCAAATTATCACATTTATCGATGTCTTCGTATATTTAACGCCGAGCACAATCTCTTGTGCTACTTTGTACCAAGAAAAATAATATCATTTACTTGGAAAATATTTCTCATGATATTATTGCAGTTGTTGACATAAATCTGTAAAACTTTGTGCCGAAAACATATAAAGGATTATCTTGGATATTAAAAAATATATCTGATTCAAATTTCTTCCAGGGCCTCGCGCGTATTCTAATTAGGCTCATTTTGAACGCTGCTACTTGTTCAGATAGTATGAGTAGTTAAAAAAACCAGGATTCACGTCTCCCCCGCGTTCAGTTATATGCCGGCCAATATTCTTTTCTACGTTTAGATCCGCGCGACCGCTGTTTCAATGCCAGGTTAAGTGTTTAATGTCAAACAGTTTGCTTGTGCATGGTATATTCTATAAATAAGTTATTGTGCGTTACTGGGTTCACATAAAATAAACATCTGTTTACATGGTTTTTTTTTGGTAATTTTTTATCTTCATGGTGACGACTTGTTGGCGTGAATTATTCTCGTAAGGCTATGTTACGCGATTGTAAATTACATGGCACCGTACTCTCATTGAACTTGATTTACGTCGCTAGTCATACCACATATACATATACAAACTACAAGTGCGCACGGAACTTCGTGACGCTTGTAAAAATTGATTCGACAACAAAATCATCTACTACATCTATCTTCCGATTTTATTATTAGTTATACAAATGTTAACTACTGTTAGTTCTATTACTTTTTAAGTGTAACATATAGCGTATATAAAGTTACTCGAGGATCGAATATGATACAACGAAGGTTAATTAAAAAGAATTGAAAAACATATCAGCAATCAGATTTTATCATAATTATATGTCTGATCTCAGTCGCAAGTCGACTATATCTCTTCTTCAAAGGTGCTGTCATTCAGTACAATTTTATTTTTTGCTTGCGATATACTATATATAGATATTTATCGTAATAAATAAGCACTTGTTTTGACGATGTAATAAATTTTATTATTAAAAAAAACTTTTATCATAAACAATCTGGTGTATCGGATGTTTCTAGCAGATAAAAAAAATGTACCCATTCGCAGTCGGTAGGACTCGAACCTACGCTCCCAGAGGGAATCTGATTTCTAGTCAGACGCCTTAACCACTCGGCCACGACTGCTTCCTATATGAAGAAATTTTACCATAGGCATATGTCGTACAGAAAAAGATTAATATGTTAAGTTACTATTAGTCATTCATATGTAACAGTAGATGATTTTTCAATTAGGCTTCATGTATGTATAACTGAAAATAAATAAGAAGAATATAAACTATAGTTAATTCAACTTACAAACTTAATATAAGAAAAAAAATAAAAAATAGTACAATAATATCGCGGCCGAGTGGTTAGAGCGTATTTGACAAAAAATCAACTTCCCTCTGGGAGCGTCGGTTCAAATCCCGGTGAAATGAAATTTTGTTTGCTTTGAAAAATTATACTTTGCTTTCTTTTTAAGGAAAAATTCGTATCTATCGTATTGCAGAACCTCAGTTTTTTTTTTCAAGCAAATACAGTTTTCAGGAAAATGGGTAATAGGTAATTGCAAAACAATCATTAAAAGGCAAGCATTGTAATTTAAAGTGTTCTATTAAAATTCACTCAAGAACACATTTGATTACATCAACGGTCGACGGTTTCATAAATAGATCCACTCCACAATATTCATGATTACCATACCATAATAATTATCTTAATGAGAATAATGACGAATCGTACATAATGTTTGCATATTCGTAGAGCGCAAGATGTATGTTCCCCTATAGCACGCATAGGGATCACTTACAATCTCCGTAACAAATATATCCACAATATAATATTAGATATATTTATAAAATATTCTCGCTTTTAACATCTAGAAATTGAAAAAGACTAAGATCTACATTTTTTCACGACCCGAACAATATTTTCTTATATATACGTATAATTATATTTGTTGCTAAGGGATAATTTGGAGACGATGTCATTTACGAAGCCGCTCATTTGAGGACAAATGGCTGTTTTGGGGACTGTCCTCAAAGATTTTCCAGCGTAATGACTATTTTGAGGACCATAAAGCGGACCGTCACACCAAATTTGTTTATATTTTTTCAATGTTAGACATCCAGTATTGGTGATGGGCTTAGACATGTTTCGTTAGGTTAGATTAGGTAAGAATCCTAACGCTCTGATATCCCAAGGTAGTAATTTTTTTTTTTTTTATAACATTAGCTTGCTATTGTGAACGCTCCTTGATTTTTCGTTTCCCCAAAGTATCTCTTTGGCAAACGTATATATATATATGGCCATGATAAATATCAATTTATATTTTATAGTGACGTTATACTTTTTTTTATAATACACTATTCGTATATATGCACATCTATATAAGGAGAGTCCAGTGCAATCGTTTCCAGATCGACGTCAAGCAACTGCCGTGACAGGTAAATTCGAAGAATATCTCAGTTCAGAAAATACATTAATCCCATATTGGGATTTAGCTCTGGATTAATTTTATTTGGAATTTGCAACGTAGTCCGCGTTCGAATTAAGAAGCCGAAACGTTCCTCGGGCTGTAGACAGATATATAGAACGTCGTGGGACGCCTTTATTGGTCACTAGACAAAATTCCGTGAGGCTCGACCGAAAGCATTGTATCTACAAAATTGTTAATCCAATATTGCCTGTACTATAGATCACTATTGCACTGTCCTCTTACGTCATTAATAACATATTTCAATATTAAAAATTCGTCGCGCACTGTATACCGCATACAATTCCGTCGCAGGATTCTTTTGGCTGATTCTATATACTCAATTAAAAATAACTTTCGTCATATATCCACAAAATTATTCCATACCAAATACCATGACACATGACAGATTTCGTAACATGTCCAACGCAGAATGGCAATTTTCACTATAGAATAGCAGAATAATTTCCTGTTTCAAAATCGAGTGTAAAAACATTACTTGATGCATTTAAAAAATATTATTTCCTTTTTTTTTTCATCGACATGATCATACGTCTCGATTTCTCAATATGGCGAAACTACGATAACATAGACGAGACGCCTATTCTTTTCTTTAATCAGCTGCACATATTCCGGAATAAATGTATTAGCAAAATATTAAAAATCCTGCGACGTATAAAAAACGCACGCTATTAAACACGCTATAAAAAAATCGCGAACCTAACTCGGTCTATTTTTCGTCCCGTGAGCATTCATCCGTTTATTTTTTTCTGTACTGTATGCAAAAAACGATATCCGTTTATATTTAATCAGCACAATGTTCGAATGTATATCGTTTCGCAAATTTGTATTGGTTCAAACTGTCTGCTGCTATGTCGACGACAATCGCCGAGGAACGGCGGAGCACATTGCACATGCTCCATTATATAATTTATCTGCATTAACGTGAAATGTCTAGAACGGGGACGCAGTTTTTATACGGACTAATAGTGAAATTAAATTCGTTATAAAATAAGGTGTCAACGTAATATTTCGCAATGGAATAAAGTTTAATTTTTTTTTTCTTTTCTTTTTCATTTTATAGTGTGCGATGGGGTAATAAAAAATCTCTTGAACCGTAGTACGGCTACCTCTTAAATCTTAAATATAAGAGTATAGTAATTAAGGTGAACCTTTGACAGCTTCAAGTTTTGTAAATCCATGTGTAGAATTTTTCGAAATTACTAATTCACCTGAACTATTTGTTGTTGTGCTTTGAGTTTCAAAATCTTTGGAGTTACATCACTTGGCGCTGTATGACTATTTAATATTGGAGTATCGAGAGCTGTATTGTAAAAGACCCCACGAGTCGTGATTGATAATTATTTTCCCAATATGGACACACTTGATCGTCATTTATCCCGATTAAATGGAAACTTGTGATACTAGTATTTTAATGGATCAAGTACGAATATAATCGTTAAGAAAAAATATGTTATTTTATAGAATTTGAATACTGTTTAACAAATACGTCTCGTAGGGCCTTTAATTTTCATCACCTCGGAACCTCGCGTTTCTGCAGTACTATAAGTTCAATTTACAATAAATCTAGATGAACGTCTAATTTCGTACTATCATTTTGCTTCATATTTACTTTTTTTTTTTTGCAGAAAATTTCTTCAGCTTTTTGACCAAGTGTAAAAATATATTCTTTTTATCATTTTCCTCTTCTCTCTCGCACATGCTTTCTCCCATCTTTTTTTTCCGCTTTATATCGACTAATGCAGGGAAAGAATTAATTTTTCTAGGCAGATTTTGGTAGAAACGCGAGTATAATCAAGACGCCACATTTTTTGTCTCTGATGTTAGTATATATATGTATGCTTCAAACAGTAAAATCGTTTGCGATTTTTTGTCTTCTTTTTCAATCGGTCGTTCGAAATCTATAAAATGCTACGTCACGAGTATTACAACGTACCATTAATTATCATTGAATATAGGGATGATCTACAAGCAATAATTTCCTTTCCTGCGTTAACTAAGTCCTTTCCATATTTGTCTAGTTAGGCTAACAAGTTTCAACGTTTACAGACAATTATCTTTTTTTTTTCCATCAATCTTAAGAATAAAAGAATTCGCACACAAGAGACTATCGAAAAGACGCTACTGGGCCGTTTGGAATATTTTACAAGCTCGAACCACTGTTAGTGTACTTCTAACCTGAAATGACAATTAACTTACTGTATTCTAGCGTACAATTGTATTACGAAAAGTTTGACAATTTTGTACAATCCTTATCTAAAAACGCTACGAGTATGTCATACGGGAATCAAAGGCTCGACGTTTTTATTTAAAAAAATTTAATTTTTATGAAAATAATGTATTTTAAAAGAACGACAGAGAAAGGTTAATCACAAAATAACATACAAAGATGGTGCAAACTCTGTTTTTATAAACTTCTACTTGTCTACTATTAGCTTTTAAGCTCGACACTAATCTACTGTTACTCTTTGGATAATACGTAATAAATGATGCTTCTCGAGCCTTTTCGCGTACGTAAGTGAGAATGTGAATTACAAGTTTGCAATATGGATACCTATGTCAAATGGATGTGTTAATTCGTAATATTGCTCTTCGTGTATCAGTTGGCAAAATGTATCAGATCATTCGAGGGCGGTAAGTAATATTTATCCTATGTGCACACACGCTCAGCCTAGAATATATTACCTATGACTGCATTATCGAAAATAAATTCAGAGTCAGCTTGTCTTGGCACACGAAACAATAAAAGAAATAAGTAACGCGCATGCGCGATGGCGTCGCTTTGTATAGTTTGCGTCCGTTCCGTCGTCGCGGTATTTTGATTTAATGAAATATCGAGAAAAAAAATGAAAAAAAGTTGTATTCATGTGACATGACCTACGCGTGTAAAACTAAAAGAATTCACTCGTGGATAATTTTTAATTCTTATCGTTAATATTCATTACTTAATGCGTACCTATTAATTTTTTTTTTCATCCAAGATATTAAATAGTGCACACTTCGAACTCTTTTGCAGACATTGAGTCGCATGTCACGTATGTTCACTACACTCTTAACGATATAATTTAACGCTGGCGAATACAGACAGCAGACAATGTCGTTATAGAACATTTTCGACTTGAAAAAGTGTTCACACAGATTTTGACGAGGCACTGTTCAGTGTTCATACTAGAAACAATAACATTATTACATTATCATTACAACGCTTCGCAATTGTCTCGGAATAGAAGGTATTAGAAAATAAAGTTTCTTTTCGTTCCTTACCGTATTGTGGAAGTTTTTTTTTTATACTTAAATCTTATTCTCCATTCTAATAACCTAAGATTCGATTAGAAGGGAAAGCAAAAACGTTGAATTAATTGATTTTCTTTTAATATGTTAATTGAGAAGAGGAGTATTAAAGCTGTGGTTTGGTTAATCAATTAGTAGAGAATTGAAACACGAACCACGCAAGAGCCACCATTTTTTTTTAGAAATTAGGAACAGAAGTTTTATATTTCCATTCTACAAAGCATTTGGCTACTATAATCATTATCGTTCTGCCATATTTTCATTTGGTTTAATGGAAAGTTCTAAACTTATATTATATGTATACTTAGACGAGAATCTTGATTCATATCAAACGCAAGCAGCCAAGATCAAAATAATTCATAGGCATCGTTATACTTCTTTTAATATGCTTAATAACTTTATTACTTTGACTTCTTTACGTGCTAACTGAATTTTTGGGTTGAACTTTTTTAAATTCGTGTTTATTAACTGAAATGTAATGGAAGCTAAAGATCGTACTATATTCGCGATGTGGACGGGTGGCTCAAATTTATAGGTGATATGTTAGCTTTAATTTCACTTCTTTATTCATATTTCAAATTATTTTAATTTAAAAATTACAGAGATCATTTTGTTTATGGATTGTCGGTAATGACAAACGAATATGTTGTGATTGTGTATAATATGTGTATCTCTATCACACTAAAGTATAAGAAATAAGTGGTAATCGTAAAGAAAATATTGTGGATCGGTATGGAGAGTGTTGATTGCCACGAGGAAAGTAAAAATTTACTCCTATAAAAATTTGGATATAATATTAAGTAAATATCATCTATATGTGGATTTGACCGTATCGTTATATAAATAGATGTCATTAATATTAAAATTTGTTACTTGTTTAGAAAAATAAAACAAGACACAAGAATTCATCCTATCTAGAATCGAAATAAAATTTCCTATCTAATTGAAGCTAAAGACCTTCTAACTAAAATAAATGATTTCGTGTTTTATGATTCCCTTTGTGACAGATGAGTGCTTTTCCAGGTTTGGATTTTGATTGGCTGATTATACGTGGTTTTTCCGGTTCTCATGGATAATGCTCGGTGTGATTTCTTTTTCGCAACACTTCGAGGTCGCGTCAACCTTAATACCTAAATATGGTCGATGACGGATGCGTGGATATTTTAAAACTTAACGTAGCGTTTGCTCTATCACTCTTATATATCATTCTCTTAACTAAAATACCTAGATGCTCTCAGAAATATAGGTAAAGTAAACTCGAAGCAACGGGCCTTGAAGAGAATGGTGAATGCATCCTATGGTGCCCCTCTCTTAGTTTCACATTAATTACGAGATTACATCGAGCTATCATTAATTAAACAAATTAAACGCCCGTACGTTCACTATCTCGTGTTTCTCACATCCGTACAACTCAAATACGTACTCTGATTTCACAAGACAGCGGTGACTAACACCGTTGTCGGTACAGCATTCTCTAATATTAACTATTTTTTTTTTGGCAGTTTTCCCACACTGCAATATCGCGTACGCGTATTCAAGCTCCGAGACGTAAATACATCAGTCTATACCGAGATCGATGGAATTCTCCAACTGCGTTGGGGAATAGTGCGAGCACGTTATACTATTAAAAAACAAAACTGAATATATTACAAGTATTTATTAGTACTGCAAGGAATGAAATACTATTTGGGCTATCAAGACAAAGGTACTTCTACTGAAGTGAGCTCTTCCTATGATGATCTTTATGATGAGCCAACTTTAGTTCGTACGTTAGTCCTGAGTGTCGTATTTAAATTTTGCGTTATTTCGGAAAACGTTCTCAGCGTGTTACATTTATTTTGTAATCAAAGAAAGAGCATCGAGTAACTTTATGATACGGTATCAGCCAAGAATTCAAGATACAAACGTTTCAGTACTTGGATCGCAGATTCATCAATGAGATATCTAATAAACTACAATTACTCTCGTAATGCATAATTAAGAGTGTCTTGGACGCAAATAATATGCACGTACTTCGAGTTTCGCGTTTTCACGCCATAATAATATTCAATTCTCTTGTAGTTCTTTTTCCGCTACGCATAGAGACTGATCGCGTCGAAAACAAACGATAGCAATAATTCCAATATACTTTGGGTACGTTTCGAAATTCACTGTCACTACTACGTGTATCGCAGTGGCCCTGTTTAACTGCATGTAATTAAGTGAAACACAACAATGACAGCAGTAATGGCAGTGCATTTGAAAATGTACTCTTAAAATGTAAGTATAAGTTCGTCAATTATTACACTTGCGTAACAATAGTACGAAAAAGAAATATATTTTTTTTCTCCCGTTAAATTACTCATCGACTTACACTTTTAAATGAACAGAAACGTGTGTAATACGATTGATTACTTATTAATATCGGAAACGTCCTCCCTCGTGTTTTTACTCTACCGTTATTGTCAACGGGAGTGTTGATAACTATATTTTCGCACATACGATTTCCACCACATCACTAAAGTATTATCATCAATACGAACAGCTGCACCCATAGGCAATAAGTATTAATTGTCCGCCATACATCAATCTTTTCCTTTTGCACGATTGACGTGCGTACAACGCTACGGGGCCATGGATAACACTAAAGGCAACACGATTGGGACCAGATAATAAACCAAGAACGCCACCACCTCCAACGATCACGCTATGGAATAGAATATGGTCCTGTTGACAGGATCCGATGAATACCTTTGCGATAATCGGATACGAATGTCACGAAGAAGCCGAACCAGGAAACGCGCGATAATTAAAGAGATCGTTCACTGGATCTCATTCAAAGCCCGCTCTAGAGAACTACTAATTCAACAATACGAACTTAGCATAATCAACTGAACTGTTCGTCTCTGGGGTTGACCTCTTGAGAATTCGGATTCTCAAGAACCTCCGGCCGTGGAGGTGGGCCTGTTATCATACGGTGCGAATGGCTGTGGTGCGGCTCTTCGACAACGCACGGAATGGAGATCTTGTCCCAGGCGAGCTTGTTAAGGGTGGCCAGCCCGTGAACGCATACAACGCTCTGAGGATGAGGATGGCAGGGATGTTGATGTTGAAGAACGAGGGTTGTTGGCGGAGGATGGGAATGGGGAGTGAGCCACGTCACGCCTGGCTCTGCTCTGTGTCATTTGCCATTCTGCTGCAGTGCCCCATTGATCTGCGCCCACAACTCTTTATTGCAGGACTGTGATCTAAAACAATGAAACACAAAGCATAAACATGCAGAAATTGTGCATCAATTAGGAATTTATCATATCATTTACTAGAATTTTGAATAGGTTATAGTTAACTAATAATTACCTTTTAATGGACTGTAACCACTCCTTAAATTGTGTATGACCATCAGGAGTGATATGAAAAGCTGCCCTCGCTGCGCAAACGACATTCGCAAAATCTTCATAGTCTCCAGACATCAGATGGTACAATTTCTGATGCATGCACTGAATGTACCTGTAATACGAGTGTTATTATGATACACCGTGTATTTCACCGATAAGTAATCTGGAGCGATAAGACTCACATCTGCTGGCATTTATGTACGAGAGGAGCTAGCAGAGCGGATCTTAGATGCTGTAGAACAAGAGCCGGATTGCTTCTGGAGAGATAATGCGCCGCTTCTAATGCAACGTCATGCAGGACGAAGGGACTGACGATACTGTTAACTGTGCAGATGCAAAGTTGATGTAGATACTGAGTGCCAAGCCGTTTTGAAACTCTCAGTAGCCACTTGACGTCCTCTCCATAAGGCGGGTTCCGTGCGTACTTAGCTTGAGGTCTATCATCGTGTACCCTGCGCGCTAAAGTTTCCAACGCAAGCATACCAACCCGATAAGCAGCAACGAGTGCTCGAAGTTGTTGGGGGCTAAATGGTTGACTCTGTCTATGGACCTAAAATGAATAACAGTAAAACATAAATTCATTGATACACCGTATGTTGATATCACCGTTTTTATCGGCACGTTCAAACTATGTGCTACACCAGATTTGTTTAGAGAGTAGATAAAGAATTTAAACTGAAGTACCTGGGGTTGAGCTCTGACCGCCGATATGATTGGTTGCGCTTGAACAAGCGCAGGTCCCGGTAGACCATTTTGGCCAGGAATAGGTCCAGTCATGCCTGCTTGAACCTGTGCCAAAAAATGGTATTGCTAGAAAGACTTACAGAATTCAATCCAGCGTTACTTGAAGAGTTACTCACGGTAACCGGCATAGGCTGCTGTATGGTAAACATATGATGTGTTCCTGGAGGTGGATGTACGTTCACTGTAGTGACAGTGGGTTGTGGTGCATAGTATTGTGGTACTGGTGGAGGTTGAGTTGCTGGAGGTGCATGATGAGGATGCTGAGGATGTTGAGGATGTCCAGGATGAGGTGGGAATGCTGGATGGTACATTTGCATGTGAGGTGGTGGCGGAGGTAGTGTTACTCTATGTGGTGGCATGGGTGTACCAAATGCCGGGATTGGATGATGAGGATGAACGAAGCTGTATGGACCGACTGTATATGGCATTCCAATACCTAAATAAATAGTACAGTCAAGGATTAACCTTAATTATGATATTCGACTATGTATTGTAATAACTGTAGAGTTCGTAATGTGCTTACCTAGCGGCGCCAGTGTATTGATCGTAGGATGAGGTGGATAAGGTTGTGGAGGTGGTTGTGTGCTAGTGACAACAACTGCCTGAGTTGCTCCTGGTATCATTTGGCCAGCAGTCATATCCACAGGTGGTCCAGGTTCTACCAAAAGCGCTCCATTGGGATCCAATTGTAAAGGATCGTGGGGTATTTCATCTTGTTGTTCTCCGCCAGGTGTATGCTATACATGAACAAATAAATTATAAAATTTCGCGCAATGAAAACCAGCATAACAGAAATATAACCGAAACATAATACACTTACCCTCAAGTACAATTCGTACCAGTACTTGGCTACTTGGAAGAGGACTTCCGGGTAAACTCCACCGCCCTTTGCAGTAGTTTCTACCGTTATGCAGGCTTTTTCCAACATAAGATCACTTTGTTCCTTACACTGAAACACAAGGCTTGTTCAAATTCATTGTTCCTTAGCAGAACATTCCATCGATAGAAAAATTCAGAAATAACTTACTTGTAAAATTGCTCTTTGTATTTCATTGGGATTCAGAGCGTGTGCGTGCGGTAAACACGAAAGTGCAAGTTCAGCAGCTGCCCTGACCATATTCGGATCACTGCCCCTAGATGACTTATCGGCAATGCTCACAGCTTCTGGTGGTGTGAGATGACCCTCCCAACTATCAATAAGGAACCAAATCGCCGGTGCTCCAATTTCCATGGCTTGACCAGTTATCCATGAGACATGGCTCGAGTAAGTTCGACTTAACCAATTGGGACTGACACAGTTATGAAGCCCCAGAGCATATAGACCAAGTTGAAAGGCACACATATGAAGCGCTCTGTGGGGTCCATGATGATTCTGACTGGTAGAAGCTTGTGTGAATAACGAGGTCGAGCTATTTCCACCAGCTTTGGCCAAAACAGTTTTGGCAAGTTCACACATGAAGTGCGCACCAGCTTCAGAAGGTTGGTTAGGAATCGACGGATACACTCTTTTACTCTTATACCTGATGGAAATAAAAATTTTAAGAATTTCACAGAAAGGAAGAAACCCACAAACGAGGAAATGGGATATTTATCTCCTATATTTCATCGCGAGTACAAATAACCACCTTGTTTCCTTAGTTCTGGTAGGTACAGGTTGCTGCGCCGGTTGAGGTTGTACAGTCAATGCATTTATACCGTTCTCAAGCTCCGCACTGGTGCTACTGTGTGGTCTGCTACTTGCACCAGCAACACTGTCGCCATTCCCACCTGCTTCTGTTCCCGTAAGGGGCGAGGAGCATGCTTTCTCACGGCGGAAACCTGCCAACTGAAGAATCGTATAAAATCAGATAAGTCCATAAAACATCTTTCATGTATACTTTGTAAAGAATCACTATCTGCTTGAATCTAGTTATGGTATGTATTTATTATGGAATTCATCAGAGCGCAGAAAGACTGATAAAATGTTGAATCACAAAGATCTATGATATACACAATGAAAATAACTTGATTTAGCAGCACTTGCCTGGCTTTTGGTGGGAGGATTCGAACTGTAATAGCTGCTAAGTATCGGTGATTTTATCAATTGGTGAACGTCGCGATCTAATAGCTTGTCCATTATACGTGCGACCTTCATTGGCTCGTCCTTGTAGTGTACGAGGAGGGTAATGGCCAGATCTCCCCTGGATAAGAATATTTTTTCATATAAACTATTACATTAAAAAACTTAAAAAATACGTAAAGTATCTCAGAATCCGTACCTCTGCCTTCGTGTTCCTTCGCACAGAAGAGGATGATCAGCTTCGCTAACATTCGCCTTCAATCCCAGAGCTGCGACAGCCGCATCGAATCCAAGGTTCTCGTCAACGTCTGTGGGCAGTTTCAGTCCTGCGAATCATTCCCTAATTTTTTATCGGCTGCCTTATAATATTCGAAGGTTAACTCTTTTTATTCTGAAAACCCGATTGAAGAATATGGACACGATGTGCTCCCTTAATCGTGGCAGAGACTTCGCTATAACTTCGAGACGGTTCGTTTCATATGAGACCAGTTACAAGCACTCCAGATATCACATACATGGATAAACTTGCTGAATACTGTAATAATAATGTGATAATTGAAACTGAGCGTACTTGGTGTATTGAGAGCGTCAAATATGAAGCTTGCCAGCATAATAGGTAGAAGGGCATGGCCTCTTGACCTCAGAACTCCATCCTTAAGTTGTTCAGCTCTTTGTTTAACCATAGCTAGTTCAGCAGGCCCTAGGGGTATTCGTTTCAACAGTCCTACCAATTCGCTCTCTTGGTGAGCCAACTTGACCTGAACATGCAATCCACGGTTAGAATTGAAAGCTAGTAATTTTCATTTCACCTATCATTCACGAATGTAGTATTACCTCTAGTGGCTTCGTGCTAGCTGGTGGTCTGGCCATTTCCAAACCGAATAAACCCACTCTAAATGCCAGGTTATGATGTTCCGGATTCTCCGCAAGAACTGTGCACAGGAACCCACACTTAGCTAAAGTGGCAGAAGCTAAACACGTTAGCTGATGGGATGCCGGATTCACTTGTTGCTGAAATAAAAAAAAAAAAAAAAAGATATTTTTTCAAGAGCTCTGCACTAAAAGGATTGATGGCATAATATAAATGTTTCCATTATATGAATGTTCACCTTTTTTCTTTTCCCTTTTACTGGCATTGGAGGCACTTCGATCATGAGATCAGGCGGATTAGCAAGTAACTCCTCCGCTAGTTGAATCCCAAGAATACAAGCCTCTCTAGTATGACCATGAGCATAAAGTCCTTCAGCCCTAGCGAACAGGATATCCCAAGGGTCCTCGGTTTTCTTCAAATTACCAAGAACCGCGCTGGCATTTGCAGCAGTAGCCGCGAGCGATTCGCTCTTTGAGTCCTTGTTACTGACACCCCCATTGCTAACAGCCGCTTTAGGATCATAGTAATAAACATTATACTCGTCTCCGGATCGGCTATCAGTACTCGATGACGAGCTCTCATCCTTAGACGGTCTCCTAGATGGATCTTTCTCAAGATCAGACTCCTGCTCACTCTTTGCACTAGGTTTCGACAAGCCCGCTGCTCTCGAAGTGGAGGCTACAGGATCACGATATTCGACTAAACTCGTCCTACACTTCACTTCGGCTCCTTTGTTATTACAACTATCACTACTATCACTATGTGTCTCGGACGAGGCATTTGAGCGGTGCTTGTCCGAGTCTTGAGCGTTCTTGAGACTAACGTTGCTGTTGGAAGATGACTCGCTTCCACCACCCTCCTGAAATGAATCACAAAGAGAATTACTTATAAGAACTACGAATATTCCAGTCCAATTAGTGTGTATATTAAATAATAAATTGTTCAACTCACCTGGGAATCAGTATCCCCACAATTGTTTAATTGTCCGCAGCCTCTTCTTACAAGGACGACCTGGGGCTCTGGAATGTCGGGCATATCGACGTCATTTTCACAGAAACCCTCAGAGCTGACGCTGCTTCGATTGCCGTCGCCGCCATTTCTAGAGCAGAGACCCGGGAATTCTCGAGGATTCAACCTACGTCTGTCCATATAGCTAAATTCGACAAGACCCAAACTGAGGGGTCGTCTGCCATGATGATGAGAGGTTGGCGGTTGGCAGTTTAATACAGCCGGGCTCGAATTGACCTGACATACATGAAAATTATATATGCTCACGTTCAAGAACAAACTGGGTGATGGAGTAATAAGCCATTCCCCGAAGTAGTTTCTCATTTTCACTTGGATACTAACTTGATTCACTTCGGTCCTAGCATCCCCGGCATGCCTAAAGCACGTGAACGGACAGTGATACATGGGATTGCTTCCGGCAGTATAAGTAATTCCTGGCAGAGTATACTCCTCCCAATCTAGATAACATGCTTCAAGAGCCGATTTGAATCCAGTGAACACTTCGAGGTCTGTTTTCAGAGAATTCTGACTACCGCTGTTATTCCTGTTGTGTAAATTATGTGAAACTGAACTGCCACGACTTTTGGTGACCTGCCAAAAAAAAAATAAGACAATGTCACCGTGCGATTTAATAAAAATTATAATTAAAAAGAAAAAATGACAATCAATAAGGACCTTGTCGATGATCTTCATATGCCAAGCTGTGAATTGACCGTGAAGAATTTCTCTCTCGGATGGGGAAAGACCTGGATTCAGTGCAGCCAATCTCCACAGAACAACGATCTCATCGCACAAGGATGAACAAGCATGCTGAGACGCGTGAGCATTGCTGTTCATATTTCCATGTTTACCACCACCATGACCGGTACCGTTAAGAAGAGCCACCTTGGTGTTAAACCACCAGACAAGAATCTGCTCGCAGGCCATACACTCCTCCGTGATGATCTCCAGAAGAGGAATGGCGTTCCTATCCGTCCTCTTGAACATCTCTCTGACGATCGAGAGAAGATTCCACATACCTTCAGGTTCTCTGCCTCTCAAAGGCCTCAGGAGCGACGACCATTCAGCGGCCGCCGGTGGTGCCGTAGTGCTCAGGTAATTTACATCACTGTAATCGAAAGATTGAATCCGTCAGCCATCATTAAAATCACAAAACCACCTCGAACCCGGCCTAACGATACTCACCTGAAAACTATGGGAGCCGGCACACAGAACTTAACCAGGATCTTCTTGATGTTATCGTGCAGCGTCTTTTCGTCCAAGTACCATGAGGTCTGATCGTGTGCAGATGCACCGGCAGTGGGGTCAGGCGCCCCACAGTAGCTGTTGATAGCACTAGGCTGAGCAGATAGTAGCTCGTCCAGGAGACGTTGGGCGGTAGGCAAAATTTGTTGGGGGAGTTCGCTAATGAGGTACTGAGCAAATTTTTGCAGCTGCTCCCGATGAAGTCTTGACAAGGACTCGCTGACCGGTGCTCTCAGGCATACGTGTGTTGGCTACAGAACATAGTAATTGTAACAACACGAAGGAAATATATTAACCAAACTGTATCACTTTTATATCAAAGTTACCATGTGTATCCTGTGCAGGCAAACGGCCACCACATGAGAACACCAATACGCAGTGGATGTGCACGTGCAGTTGCAGGATGTGATCCGACGCCGATCGAACGTAACCGCGACATTGTATTGGGCCCTGGTTCCATTAGAAGTTGGCAGCATATGCATATTCACGCTAGCACTCAAATGGAAGCCTGGAAAGTATTAAAAAGAGTATTTGACTTTATACGTTATTAAAAAATATTGAGCGACGTATTTTTGAGCTTGGGCACCCACTGGTATCGCATATCCTTTGACAGGATGAGAATGGCATTCAAAGTATCTGAGGAAAGCTCGACACCTGCGTTTGGTGCGACTATACCCGTACGAGCGTTCAATAAATAATAATAGGGATTCATCTACCTAGCTACCTGTATTCACATCCGTGAAAAAGTACATTGAGTGAAATAAGTGTGAGTCCTTTATGCACGAACGACGTCTAAGAACCTCCGCCTCTCTTCATTGATTAAAACTTAATTTCACAGCCGAACGAATCGAAAGGAGGAAACGTTATAAGGGCACGTGGAATTCACCCTCCCAACTACCATTCCCAAGTATGAGGATGCAATAACGGAGGCTCACGATATTTTTTGTGCAATTTACCGGACAATCTTTTGGAGTAGTACTGAAGCCTTTAAGACGACGGTATTAATCGTCGCTGCGGCTCAATGAATCTCAAATCATACGAAATTTTCTGAGCATTTTGGGATTCAACCAAGAATTTTTCTCACGTACCAAGTTTAGTATTAGGAAGTAAGTAATTATCTCCAAATTTTCCAACCAAAAACTTGGTCAATAGAAAATACCGAAGACGTTAAATTTCAAATGAAATCGTAACCTATGACAGAGACAAAGACGAGTGCACAAATCTATCGTAAGGGTGGTATATATATATATCATTTTATTAAATCCGTATACTCTGCTCATTCAAATATAAAGGGTGTCTCGAGAAATCATTGACGTCACAGCGACGAAGCTTAAAAATTGTCAATATAAATTATGAGAAAGGCAAAAAACATTAGTACCAGAAAGCGTGCTACTGAATCTCTTATAGATACACCATAAAGCTTTAGATGGTCTGTATTGTAGAAAACTTTAGGAAGAACTCCAAAAAAAATAAGCATCGCCCTCGAGCTTTATTCCTGGTGAAGATGAGAGAAAACGAGAAAAGGTGAAAAGTGTGTGGGATGAAATGTGAAGGACTACAAGAGAGAGAGAGAGAGAGGGGGGGGGGAGCAGGGAACAGACGTATAGAAATAAAGGAGAACGAAGAGGATCGCATAATTGAAAACCTGACCTCAGCGCGTTCCCCTATTTCAAGAAGCGCCAGGGAATTTTCCTGATATAAAACGCTCGAGTAAAATGAATTGAACCGACCCGGAGATAGTTCCGTGAAATTCGTAAATCCATAAGTGCACATATGTGTACATAGTGCATAGTGTAGATATCACGTACGTGCTTTTACGGTGGGTTACGGTAAAGTAAACGGAAGCAAATACGGAAACTTTCTCTCTCACGAATTGCCAACATTTCTTGATCGAACTTCCGGCTGGTACAGAAGTGGCAAGTTGCAATCTGTACGTAGACGTACGTCTACTCTGATATTCGTAATTGTAAAGGATTAATTACATTCAAACGTCACTGCCAGCCAAAACGAATCGAATACCATAATATATACATATACCTATGCATATACAAACTACACAGTTTGCACACTATGGCGCTGAATTCGCAATGCTAGAATTTCATCTGCACCAGAAGCGAAAAAGCATTCGACGCCGCGAAAGTGTCGCAGAGCCAATCCGGTCACGTAAAGTCGTTGACGGGTATGACTAAAATTTCAAATGGAAATGCGATTTGGAAAATGGCCTAGAATCGGAGTTACGCTTTGAAATGGCTATGGCCGATGTTGCTTCTCCCTTAAATATTAAAGCTGGTTTGTGAAATTTTCATGCTGGTTGCGTATCTAGGGATTTATTTGTCGTGTCGAAAAACACGCGACTTTGAATTCAGCTGTAACCAATACATATGACCTATTTCTCACAAGTATGGTTTTATTTTTGAATAATTCATACCACATATATCGGCATAATAGATAATATATATAATTAAAATAAATACACAGTAAAACTATACCTATTTGGTACGAGGTATAAGTATATTTCTGAATTTAAGAAAGGTATTATTATTGTTACATGAAATTTTGATTTTACTTACCGATTTGCAAGGGATCCTTGACACTCCTGGAACGGAAGAGATGTTCTCCGCGCTGGAACTCGTCGGCGCTTCCGTTCGCCAGACACGAATACAACCGGATGTCTTCTTCATTGTCGGGAAAACTCCAGAAGGCTATCCTGAGTTGTAGTTGTTCCGGTACCGGTGGGTAAACGTGTTCCACCAGCTCGAAGGGGATGTGCGAGGCGACACATCGGGCCGACAGTTCGCATAGAGTCGGTACAGCTTGTCCATCTAAAAAATAAAATTGTTCGATAGCGATCAGACTGGAGTTTTGTAAAAAAAAAACATATTGTGTGGTTGCATTTCTGTATTTTTTAAATAGAAAATAAACATAGGTCACTGGTTAAGTGATAATGTTACAGCTCGAACTCGCGTGATCGGATTTCAAAACCATGTTGAAATAAAACGTGCCTACTCATCAAGCAGAGCTTTTCGATTTGCGTAAATTCCAATGGCATAAATTTCCATACTTCATCGTCGGATAGGAGCACGGTCACGTTTATCTGAATTTCCCATGGAAACGCCATCGTAACGTATTCGCATTAATTCAAGATTTGCATAAAGTGGATTATGCTTCCTGGGATACGGAATACGAGATACCGAAAGAGAAATAGAGCTCGGTAGAAACGACTGTCGATTAATTTAAAAAAAAAAAAAAAAAAAAAAAAAAATTGGAACCAATTTTAAAAGCGTATCCCTGTCACGCAAGAACAAACATATGCATAAAATACAAGGGTGGTATTTATCGTGAATACGGTAACGCGGAGTAATTTGAATCTCAATTTTTGAATAATCCTATAGAATTACAGCAACGAACATTTAGCGGGTTTTCAAATATTCCCAAGTACCAATATCTATCTCGTGCGAAGTAGTAGCGAGCTGCCAATATTGCCGGATCTTGTGTTTTACGATTATTGTTTCCCCGATATTTACGAGGCAACTCTCTTGCGACCACAAAAAAAAACCTGGAAAGTCATTAAAAACTTTTCCCATTTACGCAAACGTTTGACAAATTAATCCATCCGGAGATTGGGTATACCTTTGCGTGAATAACGACGCGATGAATTATAAGCTAAAGGGCATACGCCAATTAAAACTCAACGTTCCATATAAGCAGTTACGTCCCGACAACTGCACGGAATCGAAAGGTACTGACTTTTAAAAAAGGAGAACCGCCTGATTGTAAATCGTTGGAGAAGTCGTTGAAACTCTACTTTACGGCTATCGTACGCAGCAATACAGTACACTACGGGTTTTACATTATCTTTGACACTGGTAGCAGCAGTTAAACGTCGTGTTGTGGATAACTTCATAGCGAGTTAGGGAGTTAGCGCGTTTGTAGCTGCAGGGAGTATTAAAAATATATTAAAATCCGATACGAATAAGCAGAAATGTGTAATACAAAGATATGGAAAAGCTAAAGAAAATGTAAAGGGGAAATTTAGTGTAAAATTTTTTTCGTCCTAACAAACTGAAATCAATTGGGCGCCATATCTTTTCCTTTACACTGATCTCAAGCCGGTTAAATTTCTCTTTTCCTCGTTGCTCATTCAAACGCATTCGGACGTACAAATTCCATTGAAGATCTAAACGACTAATTTCCGCTACATTACACGAATTCCAGCTTCCAGCCTCTGCCCGTACCAGGACTATATCCACTGATGAATTGTGTAGAATACTAGAAACAATGCGCCCACTAAAACCCATTAGTCCGTTTATACACCTACTGTTTATGTAGAAACAGTAACAAAGAAATTGATGGAGTAAAATTTACTTACATAAAAGATTTCTAAAAAAAAAAATTCTACGGGATCATAATTTCATTATATATTTAAGATACCTTCTATAGACGATATCTACGATTATGTATCTATGTACAATGTTATGGTATACGATCAATATCAAAATCTTGGCTCTACGCATGACATAATAATTCATATTAGAATGACCAGAAGACCATATGAACCCACATAGGACTGTACAAACATCCAAATGAGCAAACTGCTCAACATTGAAACGATAATTACAATGAGAAAGGGACTGAAAGGGAACGCAATGTAATATCTGTTCTCGTTCTGACGTAATGGCATATGTGGCTACATAGCAGTTAATATACAGCTATTCATGGCATATTTCAAATTTCCAAAGAGCCAGAATGAATTCTGATGAAGATCTCGTAATTAACAAAAATTTCAAATTCCCACGCTGCTAACGGAGTCTGGAGAAATCGTATGGACCTTTCACATACTACATCTAAATAGCCAGCCCGAAATGAATTTTTTGGTATATGAAACCAAGGCGGCTTTGAAACAGTTTTCTACATGAATAACACACAGTACACGCATAGAATAACATATAGCATAGAGGTGTACGTAGTAATGTCAGTTTCCTGTGCAATCAATAACATGCACCTGGACAGACCAGTATATCTACCCTGGAGTCCATTGCCGAGCAAGGTCCCATTTCAATGAGTCTCGATAACCAGTGATCGAGTATACAATCACTGTCAGGTTACCGTGATAACAATGGAAGGCTGAATTCAAAGCGATGATAATGAACGTAGTTATAAACATAATACTCATTAATAACTTTAACGCAAGGTCCATTTCATTAGACAGGTAGTCAATTCATCTTTGTAGTAATATTGTATAACTAGGTACGCTCCATGCACAGTGTATGTACACTGCCCGTCATCGATGCCTTCCTGACAGTTTTCATATTATTTTTCCCATCCACGTGAACTGACCAGTTTCAAATCAATAGGAAACCGAAACACAGCCCGATGGGCATATTGAGTACAGCGATATCACATTGCTACGTTCAAGCGATACAATCGAGTCGAGCAAAGTCATTTCGCATAATGTAGCGACGAACGTTTGATTTCATTTTTTTTTAGCCAGATCAGTATGAGATTACCGATCAGACCTTAAAAATAAAATTTCTAAATATAATGGTCTATGTCTTCTCCGCGATATCAAGTTGGTATCGCTGTCGACTCCGTAGTAAATACATCAAGACGGTTCCAGCTGTGGGGAGTCTCAGGCTGGCGTCAGCATCCCTTACTGTGCTCACTAGGGGAGCGATCACGTCAGGCTGCGATCGCTTATGCTACTCCACTTCGCGTATATGGGTGCACCTGCATTCATCTGACAACTTCTAATCACCCTCTGGTGGAAACAGTTTGCAGGGAGCATCGAAGGCTCCCGGGACTCGTTTCTGATGACGAACGTGATTCCTTATACGTCTAACCTGGTCAGAGCCTCGGGTTGTTGTGGATAGGGATGGAAGTTGTAAGTGTAATTTTGAGTGACTACAATGCTAGAAAGCGAGTTAAAAGACGATACCAAGGTCCTTGTCAGATGATCAGGAGGAATCTTGATTTCTATATCGATTGTGAAGTGAATTATCCCCGCGATATAAACTTCAATAAAAAATGCGTAGATTGTATGAGAACAGGGATGCAAGTTTTACATAAGTTCAATCTGGAATTTGAACACCTTGCCACGTGGTAACGTCAAAATTGAATATAAATAGACAATGGTGGGTGATTTGTACTTCTCGAAGAAAGCTTCTCACCGAAACTTCTATAATTATGATTGATGGCGTTAATGAATTATCGTTTATCCCTACTGCACTTCTACGTCTTGAACTTCGTTTCCACCATCAATATCACTTTTGGACGTTACCAGGGAACGTGATTCTTTTAATTTCTCACGTCCCAACTTTTTCCTATCTACGAGCTCTACTTGTCCTAGTACATGAAAGCTCTATTTAAATCTATAAGCCGACGTGTACTACCTAGTTTCCACGAACAGTCAAATACACGGTAAACGGCATCCGCTTTGCTATACCAACTCGCATGTTCTATCGACCAGAATAACGTGTAATTACGCCCGGAAAAATAGTTCAGAAGTCAACGTTCATAAAGTTTAATAACCTGGGACACCATCGAAATATTTCTTTAGCAGCCACACCAGCCAGACGTGACTAATACTGTCGGTGGTGAAATTGAGAGGCAACGTGTAACGATTTTGTAGATAATGACTACGAGCCGTAATCTGTCGGCAAAATTATAAAGACCATAGTATATTAAATAGAAATACAAAGCCAGTGAGCTTTCAACGATTAAGTTTTTCGATGAAAAGCCTCATTGTGTTTTTTAGGACTGCCCTTGGCCCTAATGAATTAATTCCCACACCCATTTATCACATGCTTATAAAACCTCGTGCTGAGTATGTAGCTAGGAGTTACGCGTGTAAGCTTTTATTGGGACAGTGTACGTGAATAGTTTTGCGCAATGCGTATTTTTTTCTTGCTTCTCCTGACGACTTTTCGACGGGTGCTGCTTCGGAACAAGTTATTGTCATCCTGTACATGCACTGAGTATCCTTCTCTTCCTTTATTAACTAACCCTTCCTTGTTATCTTTCATCCCTCGTCGTGACAAACAGTTGCAATAACTTTTTGGCGCATTTCCACGTAGTGGTTACACCGTCTGCAATTTACATAAATACGTGGCTTCTCGATGGTCAGTAAGGGATGTTGCTGCGGTTAGCAACACGGAACACCGTAGACCCATAGGAATTGTGGCATTTTACGACCCATGCCAGTTGTGTCCCTGTATTCCATAATGGTAGGGAATTTTTTTTTTTTCCCCGTCAGAGAAACATAACCAACAAACATGACGAGCATCCGCACAGGTTATCCGGTTTGTCGTTCGACCTTTATTGATTCCCCTGGACGCTTCGTGGCGGTTTGAAGTTTCCGCGAATACACCAACGTTGCTATTCACATGGAGGAATACTTGAAGGAAAATCGGAGCGATCTGTAAAATGAAATATTTAAAAATTTTATTTAAAAAATATGTCGTTCGAAGATACTTTGAAAGGAATTCAATAAATCGACTTGAAATGAACGCCGATCGGAGTAGAAACTTTCGTTTCTTTTCTCTTTAAAAGAAAAATATTCTAATTGCCTTAGAAAAAAGGTACGGCATAATTAAGAAGTCCGGGAAATACTACTAAAGGTCCCAAGCAGTATGACGCCATGGAAAAAGCTTATACCAAGCTACTTCAGTACATCAGGAGAAAGAAGAAAGTCCCCTGTGAAAGTCCACGTTGGAATAATGAAGTTTGTTTAATCAAATTACTAAAATAAACTGAAATACACGTAGAAGCGCTCCGGTACTTAAAACAGTAGAGACCGGTGAATAACAATTCCAAATATTCTTTC